TCCCTTGCGTCTCTCTCACACTCGTGCGGCGTCCCGTGGAAGAGCGAGAGAGGCAGCGCGACGAGGGCGACTCTCGGGATCGGTCTGCTGACTCAGACAGCCCGCGGCACCAAAGGTCACGCCAGTCCGACGCCTCTCGCCGGCCAGGCCAGGGGGCACGGCGTCGCGCCGCTACCAGCGCTACCAGCAGACTGATTCCGAGAGTCGTCTTCGTCGCCATGTCTCTGTAGCACCCATACTGCACCCATAGGACTTAAGTAAGACTGACCTCACTGAAACGCCGGTGGTAAGTTTACTTGCCACAAATTTGGCAAGCCGTTTCGAATGCCAAAATTTGGCAAGCTGCGGTCGGAAATCTTTACAAGCTTTGGCAAATTTTGGCAAGCTGCGGAGTATTTGAAGGCCGAGCTTGCCAATTTTCGGCATTCAAAACGGCTTCACTTCAAATCTATGGGCGGTACACACGGTGTGGCGAAGGAGGTAAAACGTGTACCGCTTTCGTATCGGGGGTAAAATCTGGAGCCCGCCAATTACGCACCCTACAAACCGAAGGAAAACGGCGGTCCAGTATATTACCGCCCATTGCGCGCCGTTAAGACAGTGCGTAAAAGGAGGTACAAAATATTACCGCCAGTAACGTTCCCTCAGAGTGCCAAGAAAAAGGCGATAAAGCTCTCGAAAGTAGGTACAAACGGTTCTGTTAGGGCGGTAATTTCTGTATCGCCTTCGTATTGGCGGTAAAACGTGGACACCGCCAACACTGAGAATCCAAACGCTATGAGTATAGCGTCAATTGGTGCAATGAAAAGCATTGCACATGAAGTGCAATGCCTCCACTGAGAATGAATTGGTCACCACCATCACCCTTTAAATGGGTGATGCAACTTCGTTGCCCAAATTTTGGTGACGAATAATTCATCACCCGAAATTTGGTAACAGGCGTTTGGTCGCCCAAATTTGGGTAACGTCGTCGGCGACGCTGTGAGGTTCCCGATGGCGTCCTTCCGGGGCCACCACGATGACCGGAGGCCTCAACGCCACATTGGGTCATCGTGGTGGCCCTGGAAGAGCGTCATCGGGGACCTCACGGCGTCGCCGACGGCGTTACCCAAATTTGGGCGACGATTTTATGACTGCCCAAAATTTGGTCACCGCGGGCTCGTCACCCAAATTTGGGCAACGGTGCGTGCGTTACCCAATAAAAGGGCGATGGTGGTGACTCTTTCATTCTCAGTGTCCCCAATCCCATGCATTATAGGGCATTTTCGGGATGCATTGCACGTAAGGTGCAATATGGCTGAGGCATTGCACGTATGGTGCGTTATCTCAACTGTATTGGACCATACGTGCTATACTCATAGCGTTTGGAATCTCAGTGAAAATACCAAATTACCGCCAGTAAAGGGTGGAAATATTACCGCCTTTAGATTTGGAGTGTTGCCAAATTTATGGCAAGTAAACTCACCACCGGCTTTGCAGTGCTCCATTCCAGCTGGTCGAAAAAGATTCCAGAGGGGCTTAAGTTGCCTCTCCAGCACGGCTTAACAGCGGGGTAAAACTACCCTCCAGCAAGGCCACATGCCAGCCAACATAAGCAGTCGGGATAGTGTATGCCAGCGGTTCTACTCAACCTTTTTCGGCTCGCGACCCCAAAATCTGTAGCCTAAAATTTCCGCGAGCCCCAGGAAAAATTTCGCGACCCCACGGGACCCCTCCTCTAGCATGCCTCCTCTAGAGTGCGATTACCCGGATTAAATTGGGAGCTGTCCGTCAACGGGGGTAACTTGGGACACCAGGGGTAACTTGGGACAGTCTGCCCTATACAGCTTGTTAGTGCTGCCATTCAGCGACGGGGCTTCCTATCGTCAAACCCGCGGCAGGGTTTTGTTTCAGAGGCCTCAGACGCTGTCTATGTGGGAAAAACAGGGTTTTCGACAAAGGTTGTCCAAATCAAACCAAACTTCGTTTTTGGGTTCTCCTTGACCCAAAGACATGTCAAAAAAATTTTGAAATTTTTTCGACAAAATTTGTCGAAGTAGGAAATTTTTTTTATTTTACTCAAAAGACGCGGCAATTGATTTTGAAAAAAAATTTTTTTTTTCAAAGGTCAACTAAGGAGGAACATTTTGAGTTGTGTCCCATGTCCTGGTCTTGCTTAGTTTAATTGATACCCACCATTTTACGTTACGTGTTTTTCTCATTTTTACCTAAAAAATTAAAAAAATGCCCCTTTGCCAGTCAATTTGATTATAACTAGAGTCAAACTGAAGATATTTTATCTTTGTGAACCTCCTTCCATGCCTAACACACTATCTGGTTCCCCAAATGAACACAGTGTGTCCCAAAATACTATAACGGATCATTTAACGTTACACTTTGGAATAACGAGCACCGTGTCTATTGCTGGAGCAGTAGAGCAGCCCAACTATTTGTCACTGAAACAAGATTATTATTTTTATCCACTTGTGAAGGATGAATCGTTTTAATCTTTAATCTTCACAAGTGGATAAAAAAAATAATCTTGTTTCAGTGACAAATAGTTGGGCTGCTCTACTGCTCCAGCAATAGACATGGTGCTCGTTATTCCAAAGTGTAATGTTAAATGATCCGTTATAGTATTTTGGGACACACTGTGTTTATTTGGGGAACCAGATAGTGTGTTAGGCATGGAAGGAGGTTCACAAAGATAAAATATCTTCAGTTTGACTCTAGTTATAATCAAATTGACTGGCAAAGGGGCATTTTTTAATTTTTTAGGTAAAAATGAGAAAAACACGTAACGTAAAATGGTGGGTATCAATTAAACTAAGCAAGACCAGGACATGGGACACAACTCAAAATGTTCCTCCTTAGTTGACCTTTGAAAAAAAAAATTTTTTTTCAAAATCAATTGCCGCGTCTTTTGAGTAAAATAAAAAAAATTTCCTACTTCGACAAATTTTGTCGAAAAAATTTCAAAATTTTTTTGACATGTCTTTGGGTCAAGGAGAACCCAAAAACGAAGTTTGGTTTGATTTGGACAACCTTTGTCGAAAACCCTGTTTTTCCCACATAGACAGCGTCCTCAGGGCACGCGCGGAAAGGTAGAAAAGGTGCATAACATCACAATTAGTATTTGAGAAATGGGAAACTACATAATAGGGTTTTTGACAAAATATGTCAATCATTGACAAGTTGACCCTAGTGCAAGGAGTGAAGTGCAGATTTGGCCGATTAGTCTCTCTGGGTTGTTAGATCATACACAGACAATAAGGTTCGCAAAAGGGCATTGATTACAGTTTTCTCATCTTCGGTCCAGACTTCAATTTATCAAAAATCGAAATTTTACGGGGTAACTTGGGACAGTCTTTTCCTCATGTTTCCAGCAGTTCTAGCCTTCTAGGAGTTGACTGACCCGGTCCCTGACAAAACTTAAACTTCGGATTTTGCGCTGATGATGGAAAGAGATGCCTTGCTCTGCAGTTTTGTCTTCTGGTAATCCATATTTTGAAGTTTTCAGAAAATGCTTGGATAATACCAGTAGAAAAGAGAGTTCCACGTAGAACCCTAAATATAGTCCAATATCGGTCCAACAAGAGTTCCTAGGCCTGAATTCTAGGTCTATATGTTGTGACTTAACTTTATTACATCCATTATCATCAATAGATGCATGGGAATGTAGCTAATTACCTACTGTCCCAAGTTACCCCCGGTCATGGGGTAACTTGGGACACTCTTTCGAGACCACTGGGAAACAATATAATCGAGGCAAACGAACCAGACAAGCATGAAATCATGGGGAAAGGGTCAAACTTTAACGTAGTTAGGAACCATTGGTCTGGGTTGATAATCTTGCCTCTGGCGTTCAAAAAACGTGAAAAAGTGTCCCAAGTTACCCCCGTTGACGGTACTGTCTCAAAGTTGATCAAAACGGTCGAAAATGGCTTTGAAAAATCGTGTTGAGGTCCACTTTAAGCAATCACTGCGACTGATCCAAAGCAGGCATTCGTACTCCGTCAACGCGCAATTGGTCTTTGGACCTTCCTTTGGCATGCCTTTGTTACGGAGTGCGACTACCCACCTTATAACAAAGTAGTGCCAAAACAAATGACTGGGTGTTGAGGCTTTAGGGCTTTAGGCTTTAGAGTGGTTGATTTTGAGGGCTGAGGAGCGAGAGCCCTCAAGATTATCACAGTTTTGATGTAATAAAATGATAACTACACTAATAAGGCGATAAATGCAAGGATAAATGCGGTAATGCAATGCAATAATTATTGCACTTATAATGCAATAACTTTTTCATGGCGCAACTAATGCAATAAAAATGTTATTGCTTTTGTTCGTAGATCCCTGAACCGGAAGTACACAGACGCCATGTTGGCGGAAGTAGATCCAAACTTGACATGGGAAAGAGACGTTCGTCAAAGGTATCGGCCACACTTAAACATAAACAGTCGTTTGATACTTGTTTGCAGTGCATATGTGTTTCGCGAGCAATGTTTGTACAGCTCGGCTATAGTTTTGGATCCGAAGAGAGGTTAGTTTCCGGCCAATTAGGCGTCTGCTGGTCTGCTTGCTTCCGGTTCAGGATTCTACGAAAGTACCCTACTAGAAAATCAGTGTCTCCGAAGCACTTCGTCTCGGAAAACTCGTACTTCATGCTGCGTTCGCGCGACCCAGTGCACCTCATGGACTTCTAGTGGACGGGACCCTCCACTTGAAGTCGACTGTACGCGGTTCCTTCGTTTAACGGTACGGGTCGTGGAGGATCATTAGCTCGGTTCTGTTTTCGATACCAACAGTCGTTCATATCCTAAATGTCTCCGACTTAGTTATTTAGGCGGCACAGTCGCACGAGGTACGTAGAGCCTGACATCATGGCGGAACAGAATCTCGGCTTACCAACATCTTGGCGTACCAAAGCCGATTTATGGACGTAGACTCAAATTCAACCGCCGAAGAGTTGCCTTCCGCGAACGCCAGTGCAAGGTGCAAGTCTTGGCGTAGCAGTGCAGTTGCTTCTGAATCAACAAGTCTCCACTTCCCGTTTCCAACTGGCTTTGGTAGAAGTAGAATAGGAAGGAGTGCCCACGGATCAAGGAAACCTCATGATAGTATTTCCAGATTTAAATTCAGCACAGTTCTTGTGTTTGTTACCAAGATTGTGCTCGCCCCTGACCTGCCTGGACTAACCTACAACCCGTTGCGGTATGACCTAACTTTCGAAGTATTTTGCACCGTCAAACCTTATCCAGTTTAGATTCACTCAATCACCACTGGCTGCTTCCGGTTGAAGTGGCGGTAGGCCTGACTTTATTGGCTGAGCGATAGCGAAGCCCATGCCGTGTTAGGGCGCACCAAAAACCGACTGGTCGTGAGTCTGTCTGTCCGTCTGTATGTAATCACTCACGTTTCTCAGCAACTACTGAACGAATAGTATCCAAATTTCACACCTGATGTCTCCTAAACATCCTACAGGGGGAGTTTATCTCAGATTAACGATTATCATCGTTTGAAATATTCAAAACATCGTTTTGAACTAGGTAATTAGCGTGGTTAGGTTGGTAGCATCGTGCGGCTGACGAATTTCTCATACCGGCTGCCGCGCTTGCAAGCCGTCTGCAAGACGGGACGGCACTTATGCAAATAAACAAACTAAAGAGCAAAGGGGTTCTCAAATAGGTACTGAGATAGTTTTTTAACATTCGAGAATGAATGAAACCCTTCCGGAGTGTCAACAGAGGCAAATACGAAAACTGAATGTGAGAATGGTTTGCGTGTTTCGTTCCCCTCTCCCCCCTCCCCCGTCACAGGGGAATCATCCTTCAGGTCAGTGCACTGTGAGTGTAGGTGTGGATTGTAAATAGAATGTTTTCTTTGCCTTTGTGTGCATCTGCTGATTTTATTCTCTCTGGTACTATCCTTATTTTTAAATTTGATAGTAAATGAAATCAGGTAAATGCATGAATAACTTCTGTTGAAATTTGAAGACTAGTTAATTGTCTTGGTTTGTCTCGGGAAATGACATTCTATTGCAATGCTGCAAGCTAACATAAATATTTTAGTACCAACATCTATTGATTAAAAGAATCCATAAATAGATGTAATTGGTGCAATAAATAATCCATATATTTTGTGCTAACAGATTTTGAACTGATATTGGGTTCAATGGGACGATTCAGGTTTTGAGCGGTGGGTGACTTTGTAATTGCATTTAATGAGACGATTCTTTTCTCTTCACCAAAGCTTCTGTCCGACAACTGGAACTAAGTATTGGTAATGGTTTTAAAGCTGGCTCTCTGAATACAAGCACTGTATTCTTTTACTCTAGAGACAAAATATCACGAGGCATGAATAAGGTAAATTATGTTGGCGTATTGAGCAACAAGTGGCCTCTGCACTTGACTTCATGAGACGATTCACTGAATTTGACAAAATTTGTTCTCCGTCGAATGCTTCAGATCAGCCTGCCCTAAACTGAGTCACTTAATATAAACTATGATTACATATTCCAGTCTATGTTGTTTAATTCACTGGTTTAAAATAAAATAATGACAAAAGGCTTCTCAAATATAACTAATAAATTTGTGAATTCATGAGTTGGAAGAAAAACATACATCTAATAGTGACTCAAGCAGACGAGTAGCCAATTAAGCGATTCTATGCTGGCAATGGAATGTTACTCGACTGAAAAAATCGCATTGGTGTGGCATCAGGGTATTGGTGACGACAAAGGGTGATCCATGAAGACCAACCCAGACCCATTCTTTACCAATTATTGATCAATTTGATATCAATATTTTTCAATCAAGTCTCATATTGATTCTTGGAGTTTTTGGAGTGCTGATTATGAAAACCACTTCCATTTCTACTCCAGACTTATATTTTCATCTTAAATTAGGTCATTTTGGACCAAAATTTTCAGGTCGAGTTTTATATTGTTTCCTACAGTGTTTGATGAGCTGAACTCAAAAATAAGTTCCAAATTTTTCCCAGACTCACGCTTTAGCAAATTTTGACCAAATTTGGACCAAAATTTTTGTATTGAGTTTGATGTTGATCCTAACAGATATTTGTGTGCTGATAACGAAAATCACCTCCATTTCGACTCCAGACTTATATTTTCATCTCAAATTAGGTAATTTTTGACCAAAATTTTCAAATCGAGTTTTATATTGTTTCCTGCAGTTTTTGGTGTGCTGAACTCAAAAATGACTTCCAAATTTTTCCCAGACTCACGCATTACCGAATTTTGACCAATTTTGGACCAAAATTTTAAAATCGAGTTTGACGTTGATCCCAACAGTTTTGTGTGTGCTGTTAACGAAAATCACTTCCATTTATACCCCAGACCTACATTTCCCCCACTCAATATGAGCCCACAAGCTGCACATTTCGTCTACTTAAGCAAAGTCCGAAGTGCACAAATTCGTATCGCTCAGCCACACTACGCGCCCACACTAAACGGCGCGTACCCCTAGTAGAAGTCGTTGGCTGAAGAACACTGGTAAAACTAAAACGTCATATTACCGTCTGTTTTCAAGCGTAATCTGTTCACGCTTCAAATCAAGCGTAACAGGCTCATCGGCCAAGATTACCTTTAACTAAATGCATGGAGGAGTTTCCAGAGTATGCTTCATTTCAAGCGCAACGTCTTCAAGCGTTACGTTATGCTTGACTCAAGCATAGAGTTACGCTCTAGTTTTACCAGTGAACCAATGAAGCTCAAAACCGGAAATAGATAAGATTAGTAGCTAGCGAGCCCTGTTTCAAGGAAAAGTGTAAGTCAATACACAGTAAATGTCTTACAGTGAAAGGCTGCACCAACATAAAAATGGTGGTGATTTTCTCCGTAATACCAACGAAATTCGTCAAAATACTTATAAGGTACAGTGAATTCTTAATGGTATGTTACGAAGTCAGCTGCACCACTATAATATGGAACAATTTCACCATAATATGGAGAATCTTCACTGTAGAACATTTAGAGTGTAGGTTTGTTCCCGGTCCCGAAAATTACTCGAAACAAGCTAAATTGATCTTGAAAGAGTGACACGTGGGAAAATTCTCTATCTTATCCCCTCGACCGGGTAAGTGGGGTGAAGTCAACAGGGTCATTTCCCGTTATTGTGATTATTCTTGTTCTCCACTCATCGATAACTAGAATGCTCTATTGCCATTCGTTATTGAGGTTGTTCGTTGATCAATGCACTCCGAGCGCAGGCAGGAAACCGAAAACAGCCCTGAAATATCAGATATCGTGAGAAGTAAACGCAGCTGCCTAGGCATGAAGCTCATTTAAAGTGGTGATTTGTGACTTCCGGTTTTCATATAAATATTGTATCGTTCCGTTCAAGAAAGACCCACGGACTGTACGATTCACGAAAGGCGTAAATTAACCACTGCCCCACGGTTTAAACAGTCTCTGGTTTTCCCAGAATCTCCCTGTCTCATTTCTATAGGCTACCTGGTACAATCAGAAACCGTTTTCCCGTGCCACATTTGTGCATTGAAACTTGAAGGGTGAGACATGTGACCTATTTTCGGTGGTACTAAAAGTATTGACCTGGCCCCTGTTTAGCTTGGGGATACATCACACTGGTAAAACTAAAACGTAGTATTACCCACTGTTTCAAGCATCATCAGTTTACGCTTGAAATCAAGCGTAACAGGCTCATCCGCCAAGATTCACTGGTAAAACTAAAGCGTAGTACTACCCCCTGTTTTCAAGCGTAATCAGTTTACGCTTCAGATCAAGCGTAATAGGCTCATCCTCCAAGATTTCCCCTATCTAAATGCATGGGGGAATTTCTAGCCTATGCTTGATTTCAAGCGTAACGTCTTCAAGCGTAACTTTATGCTTGACTCAAGCATAGAGTTACGCTTTAGTTTTACCAGTGTTCCCCCTTTCTAAATGCATGGGGGAATTTTCAGAGTATGCCTGATTTCACGTAACTTCTAAAAGCGTAACTCCATACTTGACTTAAGCACAGAGTTACGCTTTAGTTTTACCAGTGCAAGCTTTACCTGTGATATACATTAACGTGACAATTAATCGGTCAGACGTCGAAGTACGATCCTTTTCCGGTCGTACATTACAATATGACCCTTTTAGGGGTCATCCTGATGGGTGATCATACGGATGTGTGCAGCGTCAGTCCATCCGATAACCAGCCACCATTTCACTCGGATTGCAGATTCGCAGTATACAACGCGTCCGCTGCGGGAAGCTGAGAATCCATCCGAAGAGTAGAACCGGTGGAGACGCTGTGACGACGAGGCGTTGAACACGCAGCAAGCAACACGAAGGACGTCGTCTGGGACGAGACGGCAACAGCACTTGACGGGTAAGTGGAACGTCGAATTGAAAGTGGTTATCTGAAAGTCTTCCACAGTAAATAGTCTCCATTTGAAAAGAAATAGTATGCCATTTCCAGTCAGTCACCTTTCAATAGGGTACTTTCGTAGAATCCTGAACCGGAAGCAAGCAGACCAGCAGACGCCAAATTGGCCGGAAACTAACCTCCCTTCGGATCCAAAACTATAGCCAAGCTGTACAAATATTGCTCGCGAAACACATATGCACTGCAAACAAGTATCAAACGACTGTTTATGTTCAAGTGTGGCCGATACCTTTGACGAACGTCTCTTTCCCATGTCAAGTTTGGATCTACTTCCGCCAACATGGCGTCTGTGTGCTTCCGGTTCAGGGATCTACGAAAGTACCCTATTCTTTTCCTTTATAATATGAATCTTTCGCTGGGCATTTCACAATGAAAGCCACAAAAAGTTCTGCGACGTGCAGTTCGTGCCATCTTTGCTCAAGTTTCCAGCAAATCGTATGGTCAGACATTTTCTAGTGTACAGTCGCATCGGGAGGAGGCCTGAATGGCCAGCGCGGAACCTTCTGTTAAGCTGCGTTCAAACCGAGGGGTCCACCACCCTGGTAGTACACACTTCGTCCAGTTATCATTGGTAATCACACGTCTAAACTGGCTATTTTCGCAGTTTTATCGGAATTTTGCTTACGATAAAAGTCAAAATATGTTCTTGACTGGCCAAAATTATAGAGATTTTTTTTAGTAATATTGTAGGTTATCTCTGGTAATCAGTAATCTTGCGTACACTCCTGAGCTGAGTGGTGGGTCCCTCGGTGCGAACCGCTACGTGTTTTCCTGTTTTGAGAATGTAAATTCGGCGGTCATTCGAAATTCTGCGGTGCATATTGCCCAACTGCGATTGAGAAAATTTGCAACTTGCATTTCGGTTCTCCGCAAGCCATTCAGGAACCACTGCGGTCTCATTTTCAGTTTATTGGTAACGTTGGGGCGGCGTGCACGGTGCGAGTCTCGGACTGAACATTCTGATCAATATCTCTGCTCTCACCTGTGAAATGCTTTCAGCGGCATGTCTAACTACGCTGCCTAATCGATTTAAATAAATATATGTCAGGTGCCTTTCTTTAAGTAGTAAGAGTAGTGAGTAAGGGATTGAGGTTTGAAGTTCGTGCTCAAAGTCGCTTTGGGTCGCTTTGGGTAGTTACATTTTTTTTCAATTTCATTCTGATTTTCGGAGGTTTGGCTGTTTTTGTGAATGGCTGCACCACAAGATCTATTGTGCGTAAAAACTTCTGGGGGAAATTTGGGGAGAAAATTTGACGTGTCAGGCGGCCGAAGAACCATACTGTGCAGCGTTTCAGATCAGATCTAACCAATTTTGTGGCAAATAATCTTTAATTTTGCCTCTGGATTTGCAGTGCCGTCGCGCTCGCTCTCCTAAGCGACTCGAAGCGAAGTAGTCACTGACTGAACCCTGTTGCAGGTTTTGTTGGAGCATGGCTTCCAAATTGCGGGGCGACGCCGCTCAGCAACCGACTTCGTCTCGTCGGAACGCGCACGTCCGCACTCGTGCCGGGGAGAAGCCATTAGAGTGCGCAGTCTGCCAGAAGAAGTTTGGGTACCCAAGTCTTCTCAAAATTCATTTACGAACCCATACAGGCGAGAAGCCCTTCGAGTGCACAAACTGTCAGAAAAAGTTAGGTTCTTCATTTGCTCTTAGAATCCATCTACGAACCCATACAGGCGAGAAGCCATTCGAGTGCACAGTCTGTCTGAAGAAGTTTAATCATGAATCTCATCTCAGAAGACATTTGCGAACCCATACAGGTGAGAAGCCATACGCGTGCACAGTCTGTTTGAAGAAGTTTAATGATGCGTGGTCTCTCAGAGTCCATTTACGAACCCATACAGGCGAGAAGCCATTCGAGTGCACAGTCTGCCAGAAAAAGTTTAGTCATGCATGTAGTCTCAGACGCCATTTACAAACCCATACAGGTGAGAAGCCATTCGAGTGCACAGTCTGTCTGAAGAAGTTAAAAAATGAATTTCTTCTCAGAAGACATTTACGAACCCATACAGGCGAGAAGCCATTCGAGTGCACAGTCTGCCAGAAAAAGTTTAGTCATGCATGTAGTCTCAGACGCCATTTACAAACCCATACAGGTGAGAAGCCATTCGAGTGCACAGTCTGTCTGAAGAAGTTAAAAAATGAATTTCTTCTCAGAAGTCATTTACGAACCCATACAGGTGAGAAGCCATTCGAGTGCACAGTCTGCCAGAAAAAGTTTCGTCAATCATCGACTCTCAGAAGCCATTTACAAACCCATACAGGTGAGAAGCCATTCGAGTGCACAGTTTGTCTGAAGAAGTTTAATATAGCATCGAATCTCAGAAGACATTTTCGAACCCATACAGTCGAGAAGCCATTCGAGTGCACAGTTTGCCTGAAGGAGTTTAATGATGCATCGAATCTCAGAAGACATTTACGAACCCATGCAGGGGTGAATCCACCCCAGTCTCTCTGATCAACTTATTTTGAGAGCGTCTGAGGACACCCGCTCATAATTGCTGCGTATTTTTAGTCCCGCGTGAGTGAGACATCATATTTGGTACAGGGCGAATCATTTCACATTCAATCTAGTGCTAATTCTTGATGCCTTGATTAATGCTCGACAGTCACGTTGACATGAGAGGAGCAGCAGGGTGGTCATACACTTGCCTGGTGATGTCTTGAAATTGAGTTTGCTGTCATGGTAAGAGAGCCAGATTGAAGTTTTGTTTCTTAATTAGAATCTATTGACAGGTGCGTGCTGTGGATTGATTGTGGAACCGTTTGTTGATCTTGTTAAGGTGGTTCTTGTTTTGGTCTCAATTGTGTTTGTGTAGTGTGTGTGTGTGTGTGTGAACTCTTACAGTGTAATACGAGCTATTGCTTAATTTTGTTGGACTTTTTTGTCTTTTCCGAAGGTGTTTGCCGCGTAATTGCTTTTTTTTCTGTTATTACCGAAGAATAGGTTATGAGGTTTTCTCTAGTTTGGAAATCAAAAAGGCGCTTATTTTTTTTCAATATCTTTCCGTACAAGTATCGTAACTGCTATAATATTTCATATTTTCAGTAATAGACGGAAAATTTTCAAAATTTCAACATTAAAAATTACATTTAATTTTCCTCTTCATGTTTTATTGTAGTTGTGTACCCGCCTGTACTCGCCCCTCTTACATCTAGCTGGGACAGTTCTCAAACATGTCAGTTGCCTAAGCCTCACATTTATCACGTCTGAACCAATGAGACAGTGCGGTACTCGGCTGATGTAAAGCTGTACAGTTGAAAGTGCGCCGAGAACAAGGGCGCCACTGAGAATGAAAGAGTCACCACCATCGCCCTTTTATTGGGTAACGCACGCACCGTTGCCCAAATTTGGGTGACGAACCCGTGGTGACCAAATTTCGGGCAGTCATAAAATCGTCGCCCAAATTTGGGTAACGTCGTCGACGACGCCGTAAGGTTCCCGATGGCACCCCGATGGTGGTGACCAATTCATTCTCAGTGCGGCTGAGTCCTATAATACTTCGCACACAGCCCCATAATACAAAAATTAAAGCTATAATACTATCATCTATAATACCATAAAAGGCCGTATAGGAAGTGAAGATTTAGCTTTAAAATGACAGATTTATAAAATTGTAGCTTACGAAAGTTAATCGACTTCTAAATGGAAAATAACAAAGTAGTGCCAAAACAAATGACTGGGTGTTGAGGCTTTTCTGCGTGAGCGGTTGATTTTGAGGGCTGAGGAGCGCGAGCCCCAATCCTAATTTGTGACTACACTATTAGAAATTAGTTCCGAAATTTTATGGAGAAAAACTCTTATCACGTTCATGGAGACTCCATTCATTTTCCATCTTTTTTCAGAGAGATTTTCTCAGGGCTTGAACAAATATTCCTCGGAGCATTACTTGGTTCCTGATGGGAACTAAAATGCATGTCTTTTCTCAGATGTGTTAAAGAGGGCTTCGCCGAAGCATTCTTTAGTCTGAAATGGCCGAAGAGTGGACAATCTCCTTCGAGCTCCTTTGAGTTACATCCCGTACTCTACAAACTGAAATGTGTACTCAGTATGCATCTCCAGATGCATACCTGCAAGTACACACCTACAGATGCATACTTAGCTGAGTACACATCTACAGATGCATACTCAGCTGAGTACACGTCTACAGATGCATACTTGGATGCGTTAGGTATGCATCTGTAGGTGCATACTCAGCCAAGTATGCATCTGTAGATGTGTACTTGCAAGTATGCATCTGTAGACGCATACTGAGTACACACTTCAGTTTGTAGAGTAGGTTTCCCTTGGTACAGTATTATGAAAACTGAGCTGAATAAATAGAGGTTCACCTTTTCCTCATTTTTTAATTGGTTGCAAACTTTTTTTCGTGATTTCCTGACAGTGAAGCATGCATTTTTGTTCAAAATTCCGAAACATTTTGGAGAAAGCCCAGAGTTTTGCCTTTAAGGGGGGACCCTGGTGAAACTTTCAAGTAGGCTTTACAATAATCCCAGAAAGTTGAAACTTTGCTTAGTTATTAGGTTCATTATGGTGAGTTCCCAAAACAAAATTCAATCCAAAATGTTGAACGGTCTCTGAGAAAAGTGGCTTTTTGGTGTTTTTCTAGAGCGTTGGGGAAAAATCTTCCTGCGTATTTCATTGGAACGGAAAGTCTTGAAAACTTTTTTGGGTTATCCTAAAGATGTAAAGAAGAGATTTTAGTGACGGAATTTTCAATTTCAACTTCTGTCCTGAGCTATGAATTTTCAAATTTTAACATTGAAAAAAAGTGACTTTTTTACCTTTTTTTCAAACTTTTAGGAGTTTGTAAAAAAAAGTAGGGCTGATATCAAGATTCCGTCTCTAAAATTTGTCGACAAGTCATCAACGAATAGAGTCCATGCAAGATGACTCATGTAGGTGTCGACCAGGAACGCAGGAAGTCTTTCTATGACAAAATTTTTTGTCGACTGAGCAAAGCTGTGAGGTTGAGCGTATAAGCCAACGACAACTGATCTCAAAGTTATTTCTTCCTAAGTGATGAAGTAACTACCCACATTGTTTAAAGGTGTTCAACCTGTTGAATCTGAAACCTTCCATGCACAGTTTTATCTGTGAACTTTGAAAATACTATTTTTGGCAGTTTTGGCCATTTTTTCACCAGGGTCCCCCCTTAAGGAGAGCTCCATGCAGAAGTTTCGGAAAAACTCGATTTTCCATTTTTTTCTCTCGGAAATTTATGACAGTGTATATGTTGCTTCTTCTTTTTGTTTTAAACTCACTTACGTTCTTGGGAAAATTTTCTTGTAAAGAGAACCAAGAAAAACACAATTATCAAAAAATATTACCCGCAATAATACCTATAATACTTATAGTACATAATAGTTCGGACACGGTGCACGACAGTCAGCCCCCCTTGGGCGACCCCATGCGACCCCAGCCACCTCGCCGCGACCGCCCCCAAAATTCTTTCGCGACCCCAAGGTTGAGAACCACTGGTGAATGCACCTCGCTGCGCCAGAACAAAAACGAGGGGGTGAACACTCGCGAAATACCCTGTGCAGAAAAACCGTGTATTACGCGTAATACACGTAATGGTAATACCATTTTTGGGCCAAATGTGCCAAATTTTGGCATTTTAGTGCCGTAATATCCCTATAATACAGCGTAATACCGAGTACTCTGTACACGATTTCTTGGAGTGGTTACACTGAAAATCAAATAGTGATACATCTCACTCTCTGAGGGGTGAGACACAACTGTCTCACCGAAAAAGGGTGATACTAAAATTTATCACCGAAAAAATGGTCGTACACGCTCGTCTCACCAAAAAAGGGTCGTACACGCACGTTTCACCGAAAAAAGGGTGATACTTCTCCAGGAAAACAAGGGCCAATCTCGCTGATGTCTCACCTTTTTTTCGGTCATACGTTTGTGTACGACCTTTATTTCGGTGATACGTGCGTGTACGACCATTTTTTCGGTGATACATTCGTGTACGACCTTTTTTTCGGTGATACATTTTGTATCGCCGAAAATTGGTCAGATGTCTCACCCGTTGAATTACAGTGTACCCCCTCGAACAAAAAGGCGCTGCAAAACTCCAGGAGTTTCACCCCGCAGACTCCAGCGGGGCTTCGCGGACTCCAGTACAGACTGATTCCGAGAGTCGTTTTCGCCGCCTGCCTCTCCGGCACTCACGGCCCACGGGGCGTTCTGTATCGGTGCCAGAGAGACAGAGCGACGAAAACGACTCACGGGGCATTCCAGAGCCGATAGACAGTGGTCGAAGTTGACCTTTGACGATTTTGCTCATTTTTGGCTCACATGTTACCTGTGTCTCGAGGGACTATGTTGATGTGCTGATCAAAACTAGATAGTACTTCAGAGACACATTTTTCGGTCCCAAACCATCTTTGCCCCATATTTCACAAACCGTAAGAGATAGAGCAAAACTTCCTGAGAACAACTTGTCAGGAATCAAATTTTGAACAAAAAAGTCTTTATGCAAATTGCTGTCAGACGCACCGATCAATGAGATCTCATTGGATTGAACATTCAGCATTTGTCAATGTTGCGAGCACTGCAGCGCCCAAGCCAGACCCATACCATCGGTAACTCGAGCCGCTTGTTTTTAGGTAGTCGTCTGAGGAATAATTTGCCGCCTAGAACGGGTCTAGTTTGGATTCCGGGATGGGGAGAAAATTGAAGGTTGTAAAACACTTAAAAAAGTTATTTTTTGGCTTTGAGTGCAGTTTTAGCAACGATGGACTGCTCTGAGGTCGATTCTGCGTGCAGATTCGGATTCACCACTCAATATTTCATTCGCGTACCAATTTTCATACCTCAGGTCCGAAAAGAAGAGAACTTCGGAGCATTTCAGTAAAAAAGTGCAATTTGGTCAAAAACGACTAAAGCAAAATAGCCAAAAACTTTGATTGCTCACAGTTCCCATACTAACTGACCTAGACGGCTGAAATTTTGTGGGGGTCGGTAGGTAACATTTGAGCCAAAAATGAGCAAAATCGTCAAAGGTCAACTTCGACCACTGTCAATCGGCTCTGGAATGCCCCTCACGGCATCAGTGTGCAGGTGAGCCTCCCAAGACAGCACCCAAGCGGCATGCCACGGCGCCTCGGCCCGCGTGCAAGCGAGGCGGCACAATGCCGACGCCACGCAAAAGTGGGACAAATGCAACGCGAGGAATGGCCGCGCCTGCTTCCGAAGGGCCTCGCTCTGTCTCTCTCGCACCCCTACGTGACGGCCCATCAGTGCGAGAGAGACAGAGCGACGACACGGCCCCTCAGCGCCGCGGGCCGCGCCACAGTGGGCCAGAAGACCGGTGGAGGCGGACAAGACTCTAGACGCGTTTTGAGCTCCTGAGTCGCAAAATAAGATTCGAACCGAACGTATGACGCCATTAACGAACGAGGAATCCATTGGTGGGGTCCCGTTCGGTTCGAGTCCCATTCAGTGGCTCTGGAGCTCAAAACGCGTCTAAAGTTTTGTCCGCCTCCACCGGTCTTCTGGCCCACTGTTCTCGCGCGTTGTAATCCGCGTGATGCGTTATAAGCACCGCGGCCCGCGCACCTTTTATGGGGCGCGCCTGGTGCGTGCGCAGTGCAGCGCAGTGAGTGAATCTTCTCTTTGAGGCTCCTCGATCGTCGCGCACGGCCATGGCACGGCACGCCACGGCACGCTTCAGCGGTTGCCGCAAGTCCGCATAGGGCGGTAAAAATCAACTTTCCTGCCGCCGTCCGAGGCACAGTGGGCCAGAAGAGTGGTGCAGCCAGCCAAAATTCTAGACGCGCTTTGAGCTCCTGAGTCGCTATATGAGGCTCAAACCAAACGTGTGACCCCACCAATGGATTCCTCGTTCGGAGAGCAATCCATTGGTGGGGTCACACGCTCGGTTCGAGTCCTGTTGACAGACTCTAGAGCTCAAAAGGCGTCTCGAGTTTTAGGCAGCCTCCACCGGTCTTCTAGCCTACTTTGCGAGGGTCGTTTCCTTCCCTCGCCCTCGCTCACCCCCCCCCCCTTTCTCTCTCTCTCTCTCTCTCTCTCTCTCTCTCTCTCTCTCTCTCTCTCTCTCTCATCTATACACTCTTGACGTTGTATG